TTATATTATTTTTAGTAGGTCGGGACAGGAAAACTACGTTATAAACTCATAACTCCTTCGTCTGACGTCCGTTTTTGTCTGTCTTTTTGTCGTTGCACTATTATCGATGAGATATTCAATTCTTATTTAGATTGTTTTGGCTAGATATCGCTCTAACGTAAATTCATTATTTACGTCGCGCTGTGTCGTGTCGGTTCTTTCGCGAAAATTCGATAGGTCATAACTTCTTCGTTATAACTTGGATTTCGGCGTTCTTTATATGTACAGAATCCTTGTAACATATACTATAACTTAGTTAAGACTAATTATTCTAAATAATCTTCCATCAAAAAGTCATTTTTGATGCTTATCGTCTCTAAATTGACTAGCCCAGATCTACAACCGTTATAGAATATGCCAAATTGGGTTTCTATTTAGTTGATAATTCGTGAATCACATGACTTTTTCCAAACAATAACTAAATTGAAAAGAAGCTTTTTGGCATTCCCTATTCCGGTTTTGTAGAACCAAATAAGGTCATAACCAGTAGAACCGGACCTGTTTATATTTTTATATTGATGATTATAGAATGCTGTTGGCTTTGAGAATATGACATAACTTGACTTTTTTTTTTTTTTTTTTTTTTTTTTTTTTTTTTTTTTTGCAGATATCTGCATGACTCTATCAAATTTCTGATATGGTGGTCAATAATTCTCACAGCGGTCAAAGTCAAGCTTATGATGCTACTGATACAACAACAAATTTGGGCAATTTTCCAAAGTAGAATGTTGTAATAAGAATAAATAAATGTATGATTCCCTATAGAAAACAACAACCCTCCTGACCCATACAGAGCATGGGCACTTCACTAGTTAAAAGAAATCAAAAGGTGTTAATGAAGAATATTTTGGTACATAATAAGTTAATAATGTAACAAAATGTCTTAATTATTGACATCTCTTTAGGTTTTCACAACCTAAGTTTACATCCATTAGTCTAGTGGTTTCTTTGTTATAATGTAATTAAATGATTAAAGAATATAAAAAGGGTTAACTAAAAAGACATCTTATTTTTTCATATAGACTTCCTATTTGTTTTTTTTTTTTTTTTTGGAAACGGCTAAAATTTATTAAGCCGTTGCATAAATCGGCCTTGGCAGCCGATTAATCGGCGATTAATCGTTTGACGGCCTTGAACCGATTACGATTATGGTGTTTGTCGGAAATTGGTCAAAGTTGGGTTAGGCGGTCCTCGGCGATCATGGCGGAAATTTTTTAAAAAATTCAAAAATTTTAATTTTCAGTTATTGCACCAAAATTTTAAATTTTTAAAATTTTTAATCTTTCAACTTTTAAAATATTATAATAAAATTTAGGGTAAATTACACGAATGGTCTCTATGGTTTAGGGTAACTTGCACGTTTGGTCCCTAACTTATTTTTCTAACTCGGAAGGTCCCTATTGTTTGTTTTTGTTACACTTTTGGTCCTTATCTTACATAAAATGTCTATTTTCCCTTGATTTTTTAATTTATTTAAATAAACAGATCCCGAACCCCACCCCCTCACCTTACCTTACCTACCCTACCATTTTTTCCCTATTTAAATAATTAACTTTTTACGTAAGATAGAGATCAAACACGTAACAAAAACAAACAATAGGGACGAAACGCGTAATAAAAACAAACAATAGGGACCAAGCGTGTAGCAATAACAAAAAATAGGGACCTTCCGAGTTAAAAAAATAAGTTAGGAACCAAACGTGCAAATTACCCTAAACCATAGGGACCATTCATATAATTTACTCTAAAATTTTCAAAATTCAAATTTTTAAAATTTTAGATTTTCAAATACTTAGTTTTTTAGGGAATATTAAATTTTTAAATAATTTTATTAATAATCAAGGATCTCTGATTAATCTTCGATTAATCGTTTATCGCTAGTCAACCAACGAGCTACCGTCGGACGATTTTTACAACCTTGACCACAGTATAAAACGAGCAAGGCTAGGCAATGGAAACAAACAAACTGAAATTAAACACCGTTAAAAATGGAATAACACCACTCCACCAATTACAATTCCGAAATCGCCCTTTATACTTAATCCAACTAAAAATAAGGGAAATAACTTTATCAATTAAACCCGCCTTTGAAGTGCACACCTTACTGAACAACCTATCGTTACGTGTTTTCCAAATACACCATATGTAACCATAGGAAATGACTAGTGTTGTAAAAATCGGTTTAGGCAGCCGATTAATCGGTGATTAATTGTTAGGCGATCTTCAAGCGAATAATATTAAGGCTAATCGGCCAGCTTAATTGGTTTTGGTCAAAAGGGGTCAAAGTTGGAGCTAGACGGTTCTAATCGGTACTAGGAGGTCCTAATCGGCCCTAAGCGGACTAATTTTCAAATTTTCAAAATTTTAAATATTAAACCAAAATTTTCAAAATTTCAAAAGTTTATAGTATTTGAATGTTCGACTAATATATAAAAAAAAAAAATTTTAAAAATTTTAAAGTTTTTCTCCAAAATTTTCAAAATTTCTATGTTTTCAAATATACAAATACCCAAATTTACTTATTTTCTTAAGATATATTAAAATTTGAATAACTTTTGTTTTTAATTGGATGATAAATTGTTATGTTTGTTAAACTTATTATTAAACTTTTATGCTTATATATATACATATATATATATATATATATATATATATATATATATATATATATATATTCTTACAATTCAAGTTAAATTTATAAATTTTTGAATAATTTTTTTAATAATTAATGGTCCCCGATTAAACCCTGCCTAGTCGATTAATCCCTAGACTCCAATCTACCGACTAGCTAACGTCTAACGTTTTCTGCAACCTTGGAAATGGCTAAAAGAATCTTATGTTTCATCAGACATTTTCCCCACTTAGCAGCAAAAGCGACAAACTCCTTACAGGAGTCAAAATCATGCAGATGAATGTTGCACCAACTAAGGATTTGATGAAGAATATAACAAGCCCAAGAGCAACCCACAATCAGGTGGTCTACATGAGTCAAAATCACACAGAGAAGTGTTACACCAAAAGCAAACAGGACTATAAATGACAAAATTGCAAAAATGGTCCCTGTGGTTGGCAAAATTCTGTAGATTTGGTCAAAAACTAAATGTTGGTACACCATTGGTCTAATTTTAGATACCTTATGTGGTTTTGGTCCCTATGGTTGACATTTTGTGTGTTTTTAGTCCAAACCCAACCTGAAATGACGAATCTGCCCTTTAATGATTCTTTTTTATTTATTTTTAACTTTTTATTACTATTTTCATTAAAAAATAAAAAGAAAATAATACCACCCTCCCTCCCTCCCTCCCCCTCTCTCTAAAAAAAACCCAAATCTTCACTTCATCGGTTTCTTTATCAGTTTATCTTCTTCATCAATTTCTTCATCAAATCACATTTTCAGCCTACCATCCCACAATACCTAAATCTTCACTTCTCATCTCATTCACTCCTCTTTGTCCCTATTTCGTCTTTTTCTCCCTCTAAAACAACAATCTGCATATTTGGAAGAATTCTTAGCTCATCATCGCTTTAGTAAGGATTCACACATACACACACACACACACTTTTTGAAATCGATTGAGAAGTTGAATACATATCAGGGGACGAAATCGATTTCAAATATGTCAAGAGTCAACCACTTTAAACCCAATAAACCTTAATCGCTCGATTAATAGGTGTGTATATGTATTTTTGATCGCAACTCTCAAGGATTCGATTTAAGGGTTGTCTGGTGGTTCAGGAAAGGGGTGAAGGAAGGTGTTCGATTATGGGTGATTAAGGTGTCTTGGGAGATGGTTTATCAAGAGGAATAATGGTAGTGATAAGTTGTTGGGTTGATAATCGATGATGATTCTCGAAATTGATTGAGATGGTGGGGGTTTTGGTATGCTGAATCAGGTTCTGAAATGGTTGAATAGGTATCACGTTATCTGTTTTATCATTCACGATTTGCTTTACAATTTGTTAATCAATTCTACCTCACACGATGTTGATTCATTTTTGTTTATGTTAGACTAATCTCGATGGTGATTCTTGAATGATTGAGATTTGTGAAAAAAAAATCGGATAATGGATGAAGGTGATGATGGTGAGACTGAATTTGTATGGCGGTGGCGGTGGATACATGGTGGTTGATATGATTAGAGAACAAAGATGGTGGTGGAAGAGAAAGAGTGAATCGAGTCTTCCTTTGCAACCATTTTCTTTTCCTGGACCCATTTCTCTGCATCTTTATCTCTCACACAATCTCGTTTTCCTCTCAAAGAAGACGATGTTCATATGTTTTTGTTTTTAGTTGCAGGTTGTGGAGAGGCAGAGATGATGAACATGCCCTATTTCTTCCTCTAATGAATCATGTAAAGAGAGAGAGAGAGAGAGAGAGAGAGAGAGAGAGAGAGAGAGAGAGAGAGAGAGAGAGAGATTTCTCAATTTAATTAATGAAAAACATTTGAATAAATATAAAAAAATTAAAAAAACAAATATAAGGGTATAATAGTTTTTTTATGTTGATATGGAAAAAAACAATAGAAAGATCCAATTTTAGATCATTGATACACCAACATTTAGTTTTGGACAAAACCTGCAGAATTGTACCAACCATAGGAATCATTTTTACAATTTTATCACTATAAATAGGAACACCACGATTTAATGAGAACACAAACTATAGGGATTCTACCGATACAAGTCCGTCAAATAAAAGAAATTTATTTTAAGGTTACGATTGAAATGTTTAATTGAAATGTTTAATGTAACGTAATTAAATGTCTAATTATATATATGCTCGGTTGACTTATAAAATAAATCATTTAAAAATATTATTTTATCTTTAAATATGATACAGAGTAAAATTAACAAATAAAGAACACCATGTTATTTTATAATATTAAACTTTAACTAAATAAATACATGTTATTAAATAAATTATATAGACATATTCAAAAACATATATTATATTGTTTGTAGTACTTAACATTCTTCACTTCATTTATATTCTCCTGTAACAATTCTTATTTCATTTTCAAAATTGTGCATCTTCCAAGTAAATTATAATATCGAGATTACAATTAATGCCACCAACCTTTTCGAACACGTGGTTGTCATGCACCGATTATTTAAGGGGCGTTCTCAGAGACGTCTACGATTTTGTAACAGACTTGGCAGTCCCACATTTTCACGTTCGACTGTCTTCTTGAGTTTGCCTTTATCCAAATTTCCAAACAGCACCAGCGTTGCGACGGCGATGATGATGGCGATCGCGATGAAGCGTGCTGCTGCTGCTGCTGCTACTCGTGCTATTTCCACTGCTAATTCCGGTTCGATTCTCACCAGACACCTTCATGTAAGCGATTCGATTTTATCCACCCAAGCCCTTGCTATACTCGATTCTGTTCCTATTCGGTTTTCCAATTTAATTTGTTAATCTAGCCTTATACTAGTCTATTCGAGTGACAATCGCTGCTCAACTACTCTGTTCTTGAATGTCCCTTTTCCTGATCTGTGGTCAGAAACTCGCTGCCACTGTTTAGGATTTGGATGATAACTACAACCTTTCACTTCGCCTTTGAGCTTTTGGTGCTTCTACTTTGTCTTTTTAACTGCACGCATGTGTTTCATGGTGATAACGTGATTCGGTCACTCGTGATCTGTACACGGAGATCACTTAATTTATTTTTTACATAGTTCACCTTCAATCAAAAAATCGTCTCCATCATAGTGTTATCTGGAATATTAGAGATCACACTTCCGCGTCGCATAAAAACGTGAGCTATTTTCCAGTTTAAATTAGTGTGGTTTTGTACTTTCTGGAACATTTGATGGCCATATTGGACTCCATAACATGTATGAACTGCTTGTTATGAGTAATTTCTTCAAGTTATTATCGTAACCATTTCAATACTAGCAATTAGATCCCTTCTCTAATTTGTTGAAGCGTCAATGAGTGAATGAGATATCCTCTTTTGCCAAAATAAATAAACCATAACAGGTATTTCAAACAGACAAATGTTTGTAGAAAACTGTTATAGCCAAATCAACTTTTCATGTATTAAATCTCTTGCTTCGGATGATGGTCAGATCCGAGTTTTAGAAGGTGTAGAAACCTGCAAACTTAAAATTGCTCCAATTGCTTCTGCAGGCTTCTTCTGGCAAAAAGAAGATTGTAGGTGTTTTCTACAAGGCACATGAGTATGCTGAGATGAATCCCAATTTCGTGGGTTGTGCAGAAAATGCATTGGGCATTCGCAATTGGTTGGAATCACAAGGCCATGAGTACATAGTCACTGATGACAAAGAAGGACCAGATTGTGGTAAGCTCCTAACTTAACTCCATTTTAAATTTCTCAAAGTATACACGCATATACACTCACTTCTTATTATCATTTCTCATTACAGAACTTGAAAAACACATCCCCGATTTACATGTCCTCATTACAACCCCATTCCATCCAGCCTATGTGACTGCTGAAAGAATAAAAAAGGCAAAGAATTTACAACTCTTGCTTACAGCTGGAATCGGATCCGATCATGTTGATCTCAAGGCTGCTGCTGCTGCTGGATTAACTGTTGCAGAAGTTACTGGAAGCAATACTGTTTCTGTTGCAGAAGATGAACTTATGAGGATCCTTATTCTTGTTCGTAATTTCTTACCTGGACACCATCAGGTTATCTCTGGTGATTGGAATGTTGCAGGTATCGCTCACAGAGCTTATGATCTTGAAGGAAAAACAGTAGGAACAGTTGGTTGTGGGCGAATTGGAAGGCTTTTACTTCAACGATTGAAGCCTTTTGGGTGTAATCTTCTTTACCATGATCGGATTCAGATGGATTCGGAATTGGAGAATCAAATTGGTGCAACATTTGAGGAAGATCTTGATAAGATGCTTCCTAAATGTGACATTATTGTCATCAATACCCCTTTAACAGAGAAAACAAAGTGAGTGATAGTGATGGTATTTCTTTTGTCGAAGTTGAGATGTTTTTATACTGATTTGGAGTGTTGATGTGTATGTTTCAGAGGAATGTTTGATAAAGAAAGGATTGGTAAATTGAAGAAGGGAGTTTTGATTGTTAACAATGCTCGAGGTGCTATTATGGATACACAAGCTGTTGTTGATGGGTGTAATAGTGGACACATTGGAGGTGTGTTTTAACATGAATTCATCATGTGAATTCATGAACCTCAACTGATGATTTTTTTTTTGGTATGTTTTAGGGTATAGTGGAGATGTATGGTATCCTCAACCAGCTCCAAAGGATCATCCATGGAGATACATGCCAAATCAAGCAATGACACCTCACATTTCTGGAACCACCATTGATGCACAGGTATGTTCTTTCTCATTCAATTTGTGTTTACAAATAATTTATATGATATGTAGAATTATGAAGTGATTTATAATATGTTTGCAGTTGCGATATGCTGCTGGAGTGAAGGATATGTTGGAGAATTATTTCAAGGGAGAAGAGTTTCCACCCCAACATTACATTGTGAAGGAGGGTGAGCTGGCAAGCCAGTACAGGTGATCTGTTCTGTATTGGTGCCTCTTAATGGGTTGAGTTTACTGCTGAATAAGTTGAGTTGATCTCCTAAGCTGTTGTTTTTTATCACCTTGTAATATAGTAAGGTGTAGTTATGGACAACTGAATGGAAATGAATTTGGATCTCTTGTTTTTATGGTGTATGCGGTTATGGAATCGGACAATTGTTGAACATAAAATGTGTAGAACATTAATTGAAGAACAAGTTCAAAACTCATCGACCCATTTGAAACTTATCAATCTGGTCTGAAACAAATGAATAAGTTCAAAACTTTCACAGTATTAAAGTATCTTTTGGGAGGAGAAGTAGTTTAGAATATGTTTTTTTTAATGTGTCGATCTCAAAAGGCATGTTGGCCAAGGTTTAAAAGTATAGAATCGTGCCTCGAGGCTAACCGATGCAGTATAAAAGATTTTTTTTTTTAATATTATGTAACTAATAAAATAATAATAAGGTTACATAAAAAGTCATAATCAACTAGAAAATAATTTTTAATAAGAATGTCATATTACATAACTAAATAGCAACTAATATTAAAAATATATCAACTATCGAACAGAGTTACATCAGTATAAGTTAATCATGTACGATATTATATGTTAAAAATTTACTTTTGTTTGTATAGATAAAAAGGTAAAATTGTCTTACAAAATTTATTACATTTCTCTTAATTTTTATATATGTGAATGTTTATAAAAAGTTTATCTTTCTGTTATTACCTAAATGCTGTAAGTTGATAGATAAAATACAATTATAAAACTTAAGAAGTGTCAAATTACGAAGATAGTTTGTTTTTCACGAACTTATCGATTAAGCTGTTAGCTATCTTTTTAGTGATTAAAAAAGCTGGGAAGATATTTTAAATAAGTAAAAAAGGAAAACAATTATTCTATTTGAAGAGGAAACCGTTCTTCAGCCGATTTCCATGGGCACTCGAAACCTGGACGATCAAGATGCAATTGAGAAATTAGGGAAAATCAACGGTCACTATTAAATCAAAACCTCGTTCTTCAGCCGATTTTCAGGGTAGCACGAACAAAACGAATAAGAAAAAGAAACAGATCAATCCATCTGCTATCGCAAAACGTCATTTCTGTTGGGCACAAGGAATCGGGTAAAGGTAATTATGCATATCATCTCATTAATTCTTTCAGTTCTCCTTCCTTCCATCATCGTCGTCTTAAAATCCAATCCAACGCTTTTCGTATCTGCATAATTCCGATGAATTGTATCGATCGATTTTTGAGTTTTACTGATGCATTTTGTTTCTTCGTTAATTATGAAGTACATCTTGGTTTATATTGATCGGTTATAACGAAACAATCAAGGAAAAAAAAGGAAGAACAGATTCATACCTTTTCAAATATCTGTTCCAATTTAACCAAACTTGTGATCAGTTCTCAAAATTTTGATGGCGATATCGAATTCTATTTTTATTAATTTCCATGTTTATGGTCACTCTTCAACAAATTGAATCACACTGCCCGAATTTCATCATAGATTAGGGATTTAATGTTTTTGTGATTGATAACCCCAATTTTATTTTACGAGAGTCTTAAACTCAGGTTAAGAACAATGGATTTCTTCAAATGTCGAATGGATGTCGATAGTTTTATCTCATCTCCTTGACATTGACACCGATTGTTGTTTTGAGTAAGTGTAGAGGATGGCTGAAACAAAGTCAGGTATGAGGAAACCTGTTTTCACAAAGGTGGATCAACTGCGACCTGGAACCAGTGGCCACAATCTGACTGTCAAAGTTGTTAGCTCCAAGCTGGTGTTGCAGAAAGGCCGACCAGATGGCCCACAGCTTCGCCAAATGCAAATAGCTGAATGCTTGGTTGGAGATGAAACAGGGACTATAGTTTTCACTGCAAGAAACAATCAAGGTATAACTTTTACCATGTACATATAATAACTTAATCATATTTTGGTGAAGTTTATTCTATTGTCATGGTTGCAGTGGACCTGATGAACGCTGACAACACTGTAATTCTGCGAAATGCCAAAATTGACATGTTTAAGGGATCAATGAGGCTTGCAGTGGACAAATGGGGACGTGTGGAGGTGACAGAAGCAGCTAATTTCAAGGTAAAAGAAGATAACAATCTTTCACTGGTTGAGTATGAGTTGGTCAATGTTGTGGAAGAGTGATTACAACAGAAGATGTTCTTCACGCTATTTTGGGCCATAGTAATGGAATCTGGCAAAATATATGGCTAGAGTTATGGGGTTTTGTTGCAATTCATGTTATGGTTTGACTGTTTATTGAAAAAAAGTCTGCAAAGAAAAGGTGGATAACAGATGCAGTTGCAGTTGCAGTTGGTGGAACAATCAAAAATAAAAGATCATAGCAGACTGTGTTATAAAGTCAAAAAAATGGTTTGTTATTCTGTTCCTTATGTTATCAAGACTTGAAATGATGTTGTTATCATGTTTTCTGGAACATGTATATGATCCAGCTGCATGTAATCACATAAACTGCATCCTAAATAACAACATACCATGTAACATTTTTAACTGATAAACGCTTATAAAAATTCACATAGATAACAGCATATAAGAACCCCTGCAATGAACTAATCAACATCATAAATCTAAAGACAAGTGGTGTCAAAACAATTGGTACCTTTCAAATTTTAAAGTGATACAACTGGAATTTAGAAAATTTTAATCGTGATAAGTGAACGCGAAGGACATACATTTACATTACGAATATTATGTTAAGATGCCTTACTGGGTTGTTATGTTGTCTTGTTGGCCACAGTTACTTTTGGTAGTTAACATAATGATGTTACACTCTTGTTTCTATGCACATATGTAGTGCTTATTACTCACTAAGTTATTTAAAAAGAGCCCACATGAGGGGTGTTTCAATTATGATGTATAAAGGGCTTTTAAAAATCATGTCATGGCAACAAAACATGATTTCAACATCTTAAAAACTTTAAGATTCGTGGCGACTTGATAGGCGTGAAGTGTGGCAAAGACAAATCAAGGCGGCCATGATATGTTATGGAGGGAGTATTTTTTTTTAAAGGAACTTTTTTTTTCTTAATTTTTAGCTTTATCTTGTCGGACATAAAACGGTTAAGTTTTTATTATTAGGTTTTGAGATACATAACATTTCTAAAAACTTGATGTATATCATATAAATATATAAATTTGTGGTTTTTATGTATTCAAGTTTACTTTAACCGGATAACAAGGAAGAAAAATTATTTTGCAGAAGTTCGACGGTCGACTATGGTTAACGGATTAATCGAGGACCATAATTTATTAATAAAATTATTCAAAATTAATATATTTTAAGAAAAATAAGTATTTCGTTGAAATTTTGGTATAATAAGAAAATACTTTATGAAAATATGAAAATCATGGTATAATATTTGAAGAGTTATTATTAAAAAAGTCACATTATTTTGTCCAAGTTTATGGAAAAGTCTAAATTTTTATTTTTTCAATCGAAAAATTCCAATTATCTAATCTTCAACGATAAGCTGTCAAATCCTATTAATAAAAAGAACATTGTCATTAATTTGGGCTAAATATTAAATAACGAAGACTTTATTGTTCAAAAAACAAAAATTTAGATTTTTTTTTTCATAATTTAGGTAAAAGAAATGTTAACTTTTGTTGACGATCGAGAGTGCCAAGACGAATGTCAAGAACGTTAAGCCCGACGTTGACTGTTTCACGCCAAACAATCAAACAATCCTAATCGTAATCAGTTGCAAAACATCAAAACTATTAATCTTAATTTCTGCATCACTATTGAATAATAATATAGCGCGCGTGCACACACACACACACACACACACATATATATATATATATATATATATATATATATATATATATATATATATATATATATATATATATATATATATATATATATATATATATATATATAGGGTGAGGTTCAATAGAGAACCATAATTAACCAAGGAACCAATCTTTTTTTTCAACTTGTAGAATTTATTTTTTATCAAAAAAAAAAAAAAAAAACTAAAAATACAAAAATTCATAACTTTTTATCATTTTTCCAATGATATCAAATTCAATTTTTTTAACGTCAAATTCACAATGTGAATTTTTGAAAATTCACAACGTGAATCCGGATTCACACGGTGAATCCGAAAAATATTTTTCACATTCACAATGTTAATATATGAATTTAGATATTTTTATATTTTTTTTTTCGGTAAATAATAAGCTTTAGAAATTGAAAAAAATATTTGGTTATTTGAAAAACCAATAATTATGGTTCTCTATTGAACCATAATATATATATATATATATATATATATATATATATATATATATATATATATATATATATATATATATATATATTCTCTTAATGCATAATGTACAAGTATGTTAATGCATGAAGTATAATTTCAATCCCTTAACTTTATATAGTCTGTCACTTTCAACCTATTTATTTTGTAAAAGATATGTTTCATCCCTTTACTTATTAAAATATCACATTCAACCCCTCCATCTTCAACTTTGTAAAATATCACTTTCAACATTCGTTTTCTAAATGATCGTGTTTATTCCATAGTATATATAAATACGATATTCTTTCTTCTACTTTGTAAAATGCATTTTCTACCGCTCTTATTTTTAAAATGTTACTTTGACCATTTCAACAGAGAAAATCATTTCCGCTAATACTACAACTGTTGATGCCCAATATACAAATATGTCAAATTGTCAATGCGTAAAGTGTAATTTAATCTCTCAACTTTGTATAATCCATTACTTGCAACCCCTATATTTTATAAAATATTTTCCTTCCCTTTACTTTTTAAAATATGAGTTTTACTCATTCTATCTTCAACTTTATAAAATATCACTTTCATCCCCCTTCATCTTTCATCTCTCAATTTTGTATTATCTGTCACTTGCAACCCCTCTATTTTGTAAATTTTTGTATTCATCCTCCATCATCCCTGTATATATATAAAATATGTTTCCCATCTTCTACTCTACTAATACTAACAAAAACACATAAACCTCTGACGCAAAGCGCGGGTTCACCTTCTAGTGTGTGTATATATATATATATATATATATATATATATATATATATATATATATATATATATATAACTATAAAAAACTACATAATTTTAATAAAATTCAATTAAATATCTCTACCATATTTCTTGTATCCTCGATTAGAGCTTATGTTAGACATTGTATATATATTTATGGAGTTTTATAAGTTTAACTTTGCACCACTAACTGCGTATAAGAATATTTTACCAATTACATGTAGTTGGGTATATTTAAAATTTATTATATGAAACTATAATGAAAGATTGAAATTGTTTATTAAAAACCCGATAAATCTCTTCCCATAATCCATAAAACAAAACAATACAAGTATACATAAGGTAGGCGTCTGAGGAGGTTATGAAGCTTCTACAAGAAGTCTAATAAAAAACACATTCAAAATACATAGATGTTAGGGATAAATTCCAAAATAAAAAATAATATGAGTTCAAAAACAATAGGAAGAAGCTAACAATGAAAGAAAATTGTATTTTTTAATCAAAATGAAGTCAATTTAGAAGGTTCTATACCTAATATTGCATGCATAACAGTCACATATTCATTTTTCTCATATATATATATATATATATATATATATATATATATATATATATATATATATATATATATAATCCAAGACATGGAAGTGCAATATGACATGGCTATTAGGCATAAAATACTTTTTGATTGTCTAAGGGAACCACATGGTCAGGTTTTCTTATGACTATTACTATAGATGATTTTGACCAACATATGTCACCAGTGAAGTATCATACTATCCTTAAGTATCGCATTATGATTTCATTATTTATGGTTGATGAGATATGCTCAATTTGATGTAACACATGCTTAGACTCTTTCGGAGAGCATACACTATATTATATAGAATTCTTGACATTCAAGTACCAATATAATATGGTTAATGACATTTTTTGATGTATTTAGGCTCATCAATATTTCCACCAAGAAAGGAGGCATATGTGATTTTTTTTAACCAACCTGTTCGAAAGAATGTCAACATTTAGATCAGTCAATGTTTTGATTTTTGGATGGTTAGGAGAGAAACATACATTATGGATCTAGCATGGGTTTCCCTCTTGTAGGGTTGAAGAGTGGGTGTTTCACATGGCACACTATTTTAAAAGGTATCTCATGCAAAATCACACACACACACACACACACACACACACACATATATATATATATATATATATATATATATATATATATATATATATATATATATATGGAAAGTTAACACATGTTTATACAATTTGCCTTTGAAACTTTTGGTTTCATTATTTCAAATGTTGTGACCCTTTAAAGTTTCCAAGTTTGCTAATTCTAAGGTTGCTATTGAAGCTCAGCCTGCAATTCCTTTTACTTGGGTGTTGTTCTAGTTTGAGGTTGCTAATTTTGTTTCTTTTAAATTGCATTTTAGCTTTGGTTTTCTTCTTATATTATGTATTGTTAGGTGCAATTTGTGCACCTTTTTGCACACCTTTTAGTCACTTTTTCATACATCTATTTAGCATAATTGTTCTTCAGTTTTTTTTGCATTTCATCATATTCATGTTAGTCTCTAGAACAACCTTATTTGCACACTTGCATGTCTTTTTTATGTAAAACGGAGGTTGGAATGCGCGTTGGGAAGTGTCGGGAAGCATTGGTGAGGATTTCGGGATGATCGGGTGAAGAACGAAAAAGTTGGAAAAATCAAGTTTGGAATCGGAGTCAGTGAGGTACACAGGGCGTGTTGAATTTACATTGAAATGTGGGCACGGGGTGTGTTTGACCAAGAAGAAGCTGTTGAAGATGTTGAACACGGGTCGTGTCAGTTTACTGCAAATCAACACGGGCCGTGTTGGCTGCTAAACATGACCCGTCTCAGTTTAGCCTATTTTGACATGGGCCGTGTTCGACCCAAAAATTCCTCTTGACAGTTTTTCCTGTCTTTGATATTACGGGATGAGGGCCACTTTTTACATACACACATCATATCAGAGCACATTTTTTGAGGGGATTTCGAAGGTTTTTGCAAGGGTTTGATCATTAATCATTTGGAAACATTATTTCCAGTATTTGTAAGTTGTAATTGCACATTATTTCCATCTTTTAAACTTGTGATCTTGTTCTAGCCATATGTGGCTAGAACCCTAGTTTCTCCAATTTCATGTTTTGACTTCTTGGTAGTGACTTCAATCATATAACCTGATGTTTGTTCTTAATTTCTATCTAGTGAATTTGATTTTGCTTTAATCGAATGTTTGATTCTAATTGTGATTCTTATTGGCCATTTGAATTAGGGTTAGGTCATTCAAGTTATCTCTTTTACAAAATCCGTAATTGTTTTGTGAAATTGAACAAGTAACAAGCATTAAATTGATCTCTATTAAATGAATTTTGTGTAAATCTTATTCATATGCTCTTACACTCCCGAGCTTGTGAGGAGTATTGGCTGTTATTGGGAACATTCACATAAAGTTTCATGCAATCTTTTAATCTAATTTTAAGAGCTTGTTCAGATTAGGTTAGTAAGGTTAGGGTTAATCAAAGAGCTTGTTTTAGTTAATTAATGTGGTGACTGGTGAATGGGAAGTGTTAGAGCTTGTTAGCACTTTCAAGTACCAAATTAGATAGAACTGAACAAATATTGTGTCATCTTTGAATCACATTTCTAAGTTGTCATACATGAAGTTGGAGTCCTTACAAAATCTGAATTTAATTCACTCATTTAGTTGATTACTTGTGTTTTTAATTTGTTTGTTTAATCATTGCATTCAACCCCCCCCCCCCCCCTCTTTAATATTTTGTGAACAAGTACCTTGTGTAAAAAGGTATTAGACACATTATCCCGTGTCTCTCTGGATCGACCCTACTTGCTTTGTACTACCTTTTGGTGTAATATAGTGGGATTCTTTTGGAGTATATCGTACCCATTTATTTGTTGGGTTTGACACGTCTAACAAATTGGCGCCGTTACCGGGGACACGGTGTTACTAATTGTTTTATGCCAATATCTTTTCGTACATGTACGCCATTGCCA